GAGACTTTCTGGTTCTTTTTCTAACTTCCTATTGACAAACCTGTGAGGATATGGGTGTCTTTAGTGATAATTGGGAAGTTTCCAATTCATCATTTACATAATGAGATCTTGAATCTCTGTTTGGAAACAAACTCTTACATCCTGGCTTGGTCTTTTTTCTGGGTAGGTAGGCAACTTGCAAACAAAGCACTAAACTGCAGTCCCCTATGATTTAATTTTGTGTATATATATATATTCATTCATTCATTCATTCATTCATTCATTCATTCATTCATTCATTCAGTGTCCTTATAAAAACCAAAACACCATTAAAACCTGGCTTTTCCAGTGAGTCTTGGGAATATATGGACTTCCATGTTGTGTCTATTGCTTGTGACACTGTTGTTTCATTTTGTTACTGTTTATTCTTGTTTTTAATATTATACCTTTTATTAGACATTTTGAGCCATGTTGGATTGAATGGCATATAATCTGTAGTTTATATGTAAACAAACAAATGAATAAATAATGAAAATATATTGGTGTATATGTTAGACCCAGAAGAATCATTGCAGATACAGATAGTCCTTGTTTAGTGACCGCAGTTGGTTCTGGTGACTCAGTCATTAAGCAAAGCAACTGCTAAGTGAAAATCATGTGACTGCAACTGTGCTTATAATTTTACTTGAGCTTTCCTTTGCTTCTTGATGCTTCCTGCAACTGAACTGGGGTTCTTTCTCTTTCTCTTTGAGGACATCTTGGTATGGGGTAAATAAGCAAGTGAAAATATGAGAAGGTTATATGCGTGTTGCTGTTAATCTGTGTGTCACACTTAATTTAGAATTTGCAGGATGGATACCAAAGAACTAGAACACTAAGGGAAATGCCAGGATGGTAATAAATCTCGAAATATTTATTGTCCCTGAATATACTTACAGCATCAGAAGAACACCACCACAAACAGCTGGGTGAGCCCAAGTGGTGAGGAAGGTTTCTGGAACTTGACTCATGAGGAAACTGGGTAAAAGGGCAAATCTTATAGCCCTTTTTTCCCCACTCCCCCACCCTTTAGAATGTTCACATGGGCGCTGGGATAATTAGCAAGAAGGAAATTAATGTTTGTATTTACATTTGTTGGAGAGGAAGGGATTACAAGAGAATAAGCAGGCACACAATGGGGAATACACATTGAAAGGAATGCACTAGTACCAGTTGTTTGCCTAGCACACTGGTGGCTATGAGCCACATAGCAGGCAAAATAAAGCCTTTAGTGTGAAATTGATTAGGCTCAATAGCAGCACCAGCCAGCCAGAGGATTCTAATCAACTAATTAAGATCACAGAGCTGATCTTGTTAACTTGCAGTTAGCATTTTTTAAGGATGAGTTGCACTGTGGAGAAAAGCAGCTCAGGAAGAGATGGCTTGTTTAAGCAATCCTCTCCTCTGGGGCAGGGGGAGAAAAAAACTAGGTCAGGCAGGGACAATGCAATACCCTACTAACTGACTGTAATGGCAAACACATGATTGAGAGAGAGAGATGCTGCAAAGGTTGTAAATGCATGCATTGGCCGCAAAGTTACTTTTTCATCACTGTCATCGTGAATGGTCGCTGTCTGAGGCAGTTGCTAAACGAGGACTACTTGTAATGATTAAACTGGCAGCTAGTGCTTTGCTGTGAAGAATGTTTATTTTTATAAGTTAAATTATTCTAAAATAAAATGAGGTGGGATCATAGAACTTGTTAGGGCTCGTTAAGAACCTGCATTATATGGTATGTGTGAAATATAAATGGTTAGAAGCAGAAAAAAATGGAATATAGGAAACAGATACATTTAAAAAGGGCAGATGGGTAGATGAAAGGGAGAACAGAGAGTATTATCTAATTGGTTTATGTGTTTTCCTCCATAGGTATATATTGGTGAACTTCCTCAAGATTTTCTTCGTATCACCCCGACACAGCAGCAGCAGCAAATCCAACTGGATGCTCAGGCAGCTCAGCAGTTACAGTACGGAGGAGCAATGGGTACTGTTGGGAGACTCAGTATCACTGTAGTGCAGGTATTTTAAAAAGTACATTTTAAAATATACTACACAGTTCCATGCCAGCCAATAACATTAAAAGAGCATCACTGGCTCCTGGCTAATAATCATTGTGTGTTGTTCATACAGGGCAAAGCAAATTATATGCAGTACTAAGCATAAATTATTTTCAAAAATTGTATAATGTCACAGTAGTATATACTTCCTCTAAAAACATTAATCAGCATCTGCTATGGGGGCAGTATACATGAATTTGTTAATATTTCGTTAGCAGGTTTTTAATCATCTAACATCAGGTACTTAAAATGTCCACAACTTTAAAATGGAATTCTATACTTAAGCATATTATTTGTTTAGAGCATTAGTTGATAAGCTTCCTGTGTAAATAGCAATAGATCTGTGGTTGTCATGGAACAATAGTGTGATAGAATTTGTACCCTTTTTAAATGAAAAGTCTTCAAACACTTTTGGGATACACTAGGTGGTTTGGTTGGTTTCTTTGTCTCTTTGTCCTTGAAACTAATAGCAGAATATGTTTTAAAACTAAGCTTTAAATAAATTGCTACTAAGTAATATGAATATGACTATCAAAACATATTTTTAAAATAGCTAATATTTTCTGACAAATGTTTTAGCATTATGCTTATATTTTGTTTAAAATATGTAATGATGTTGCCAGAATGTACTGGCATAAAACCTTGACTTTTCAGTGATAATCATCTGCAATAGAAGGATCCCATAGATTATAGCTTTTGTGCAATTTGCCTCGTATTTCCAGTTTTCTCTTCTCTGCTGGAGAGATTTTATGTAAAGCCATGGCCCTGCTAATACTGTGTTAATTCAAACATGAGGTCCCAGTTCTCTGTGGAGAAAGGATGAATAAACTGCTCTTGAGAGGTTCCTAAGGATCTAAATCTCTCAGTTAGCACCTGTTCTAATAGTGCCACTTGGAAAAGGAGAACCCTAATGACAAAATCACTGAGAGATTTCAATATTTTATTCCTTGTTCACATTGCTGGATGTTAACACATTCTGTTTACATCTAGCCTAGCAGGTGGGCCAAAGAACCCCTTCAGCAATGGCTGCTCATTTGTAATTTTAATATGAAAGAAGAGGATTTTATTAAATATATAGGGAATAAAAATTAATGTAATTTTACTTTAATTTATATTTAAATATACATCCAGTTTCGTTTTTGACTTCTCCCTTTCCACATCTTTATCCTTGTCCCATCACATTTTGTAATATGGCCCTTGATACTTCTCTTAAAAGCCAAATCTGGCTTTACATAGTACTGGCATAAAGAATATTATATTTATACTAAAGGAAGGAGGAATTATTTTTCCCCAAATAAATTACCTTTAAAATGGGAGCATCATGTTAGATTTGAAAAGGGTCCTCATTAAAGTTGATCCTTGCTCCTCGTGGCTTATTACATCTAGTTGAAGAGATGTTCAACTTGGTCCAGGAGGTTACAAATTCCTCCCTACGCAAAGGAGTGGTCACAATTTCATTAACAGAGGCTGTACTGATGCTACTCATGGGGGGAAAAAATGGACCCAGAAGACCTAAACACAGGCCAGTGGCCAACATCACATTTCCTCAGCAAAGTGCTTAAACATGTGGTAACTGCTCAGATCCAGACGTTCTTGAATGAAAGAGATTTTGCAGAGCTCTTTCAATTTGTATTTAGGCACTGAACTGCCTTAGTTGCCCTGTTGGATGATCTTTACTGAGAGAGATAGGGGATACAACCCTGTTGATTCTTTTGGTCTTTCAGTGGCTTTTGATATTGTCAACCATGGCATTCTTCTATGAAGGTTGTCCAATATAGGTGTTGTTAGATCAGACTTGAAGTGGTTCTGCCCATACTTTAATAGGCATCTCCAGAAGATGATTATGAAGGATTTCTGCTTGACCCCATGGGTCCCATTTTGTCCCTCATGTTCACTATCTACATCAGGGGTCTTCACACCTTTTAAATGGGGCCAGTTCACAGTCCCTCAGAATGTTGGGGGGCCGGACTATAGTTTGAGGAGAGCCGCCGGACCCAGCATACCTGTCATGTAGAATAGTCCAGCTCTGCAATCTCCCCCCTCGTGCATTGCCTGCAGCTCCCGACACAGCCCCGACACTTCCGCTTCTGACAGACAGCAGCGGCCAATCAGGCGGGTGGGCCAGATAAATGACCCTGGTGGGCCATATTT